ACATATTCACATCAAAAGTTTTTATAGAGTATAACATTGCACTCAATCACTGGGCATCCACAACCAGGTCTCTGTGAGTTGGGTATTCGCCATTTTTTTATGCCAAAAAAGGGCAAAAAAGCCCATCATCGGTCCAACTCCCTTCTTTGACTTCAATAAAATGAACATAAAACAGGAGACCAAAAAATCGATCTAACAAAGACTCAATAAATATTGGAATGGAATGGACGACCTACATCATTCCAAAAAATTTTTGAATTTTGATATCAAAAGAGTAAACACCGCTGTCAACCTAAACAAGAAGAGTCTAAAATCACTTTCTGGTGCACCAACAGGCCACCGCATGCAATAAACACCCGCACAAAATATGATATATCCAACACTAATATTTTCAGGTTTTGCTGTGATAAGGAAGAGTTTATGGAACATCTTATCACCAACTGTGATGCAATAGGCCACATAAGAAACAAAATTTTAGGTGCATTCTAACTAGAGGATGAAGACCTTCGAAAACTCTCTCTGAAGTAGTTGGTTCGGTTCCTCGAGATACAGAAGGTCTAAATACAAAGGAGTGCACAATAAATCATGCTGGTCGTAGTAGCCTTAGCCTAACCCAAAGTCCCACCTGCCATACCATTGATCACTGACCAACATCAGCGCGTTATTCATGGAACAACAGGGCAGCTCCCAAATAGGATACGGTTTTGAGGAATTGTTGGACCCTATGCTCCGCTGGGAGTTGATGGGGAAAAGAAAAATACAAATTTTTTATGTTTTGTTAGAATACTTTGCCTTTCGGCACATCCAACTTCTGAATGGCTTGCGTAAGCATAATCTAACCTAACATATTTACTGTTTGACTGCTCGCTGGGTAAAAAGACCGATTGTTGATCATGTCGCAGTGTAGGTTGAGTTCGTATATTGCACAAGTTTTCGTTTGGTTTGATTTTGACATCAGTCAGCAACTGCCCTGGAACGTTAAGAGCGTTACCGTATAACATCTCTGCAGGGCTGGCGTTTATATCTGCTTTCGCCGCTCTCCTGAGACCCAATATCACTACAGGAACGATTTGGGTCCAGTTACTGGAACGTGACAACATATTGCTGCTTTCAGTGTTCTACGAAACCACTCGACCATGCCATTAGCTTGATACTTTATCACTAGTAGTTTCGTTACCTCTGTGAATACAGTGGATTCAAATTGACGTCCTAGGTCAGTTGTGACTGCTTGCGGAGCGCCATAATGTGCAACCTGATGACTGATCAGTAAATACTGCTGCCACTTCTTCTGCTGTAATGGTCACTAGCTAACGCGAAAAACGATCGATACATGAGAGAATATAACGCTTTCCTTGTGACGGGGGCAATGGGTCCAATATGTCCATGTGTTGAAATCGGTCACCTACCGCTGCAAAAGAACCGATAGGCGTGCAGGTATGGCGTTGGACCTTCAATTTTAGGTATGCAACACACCTTCGGACGAAAATTGCTGTATCTTTAGCTATACCGGGCCACACGTATTTTGCTTGGACAATTTTGCAGGTTGTATTGATCCCGGGATAGGACAAAGAATGAAGCTTGAACAATACTTGGACAATTGTTGTCTGCAATTTAATGGAACATATGGGCGGATGTGAGTGTCAGAAACATCGCAGTACAATTCAACGTCTGAATTTGGTAGCTTCCACTTCTTCAACAAAAATGCTTTTCCAGACTGGTCGTTTAATAACTCGTGCAGTTCCGGGCCTGTTACTTGGTCAACCGAAATTCATTCTACATCGCTTGCTTCACACTGGACTGCTGCAATTTGAGAAAGGGAGTCTGCTACCACGTTATCAGCTCCAGCTACGTGACGGATATAGGTAAAATATTGGCTCACAAATTCAAGTTGATTTGTCTTAGTACATACCTAAGATGCCTTTTCAATTGCTTGCTGGAATGCATATGCGAGTGGCTTGTGGCCAGTGAATAAATTGAACTCACGATCTTCTAACGTATATCAGAAATATTGGAAGGCTTGATAAATCGCTGTCAACTCTCGATCATAAGTGCTGTATTTGATTTGAGCTGAACTCAATATTTTCGAGTAGAATGCTAATGACTGATGTACTCCATCTACTATTTGCTGAAGGATGGCACCATCTGCATCTCCTGAGGCATCAGTAAAAACCGTAAGTTGGGCCGGCTCCAGTTTATCTTTACACTGCTGGAATGCCGCCACGTCATCAAGGGACCAGGCGATTGCTGTTTTGTCGTTTTTGCGGTTCCCAGGCATTAACGAAAAAAAAACGTTGTTGGCTATGAACGGCACCTTGCAAGAATAGACGGTAGAAGTTTATCATTCTTGAAAACTGACGCAACTGCCTAACGGTTGTAGGTAAAGGGAACTCACAAATGACCTGTACTTTTTTCTGGGTTGCGGTGATGTACGGATTCCGAACGTCATAAATTTGAACTCAAACAAACCAAATAGAGTTGTATTATTTTTAGTGTGTCGGTGGCCGCCACTGGGATCTGATGGTACGCTTTCGACAGGTCTATCTTCGAAAACATAGTTTTTGCATGTGAAATAGACGTTATATCATGTATAAATGGAATTGGGTAACGGTCGCGCTCGTCTCTGCGTTGAGCATTCGATAATCCCCACAAGGTCGCCAACTTCCATCCCCTTTACGCACCATATGGAATTGACTAGCCCAACAGCATTTGGATGGCTGACAGATACCCGCTTGCAGTAAATACTTAAACTCTTTCTTTGCTTCAAGTTTACTACCAGTTAGGCATCTCAGACAGGCGAATAATGGTGGGCCTGTTGTTTTGATGCAGTGCTCCAGTGATGTAACGGTTCTTCGTCGATTCGCGTTCATCGTTGCCAGGTCATGGCACTTGTGTAACAGCTCGGCGTACTTCGTACCTACGCTGCATACGCGCATCTCGATCGTTTACAACTTGGCAGTGTCACCTTTGACCATAACAATTGTTTTGTTGTCAACCAGTCGCTTTCATTGCATATCCACCAATAGGTCATAGTGCCTTAGGAAATCGGTACCAACGATAGGGCAACTGAGATCTGCAACCACGAAAGTCCATGGGAAATCTTTGCGCAGCCCAAGATATAACTGAAGACGTTTCTCCCCAAACGTGCGAATGTGAGTACCGTTGGCTTCAAATAAATTTATCGTCGAAGCACTGCCCGTTTTGCACGAATGATGCAAAAATTACCGTGGAGTCATTGAGATGTCGGCACCCGTATCTATTAGAAATATGGTGGTCGTAACTGGATCCTTAATGCTGAGTCAAGTTTATTGTATGCTGCCTTCGTTGTGGCTCGACGACGACGAAAGAACGCTTAGTTTTTTTGTCTGCGATGATGCCGTAAAACTGCAAGGCTATCTACAACTGCGTCGCTTACGTCCAAACCTGGAATGGACCAGCACCAATCTGGAAGAGTGCTCGATTGGAAACGTAGTCGGCTGCGGTCTCTCGACAAACGCCTACATTTGCTGTTGACGGGAGTTCATGTCTTAACAACTCAACCGTTACTTGATTTGATCTAACCATTGACGCACCTTTTATGCTTCTGACCAGTTACCGCCGCTAATTGCCTGCTTCGTAAATCTTGTCAGCCAATTTGGCTAACTCGATCAGATCAACGCTTGATTTCTGAAAAATTGAGCGCACTTGTGGAGGCAAACGCTGGAGCCAGAGTGTTTTCAAAATTTCGTCGCTCAGTTTATCCTTTGCCAACGTTGTTAATTTATTTAATAGTTGAGTGACGTCTAATAATAGACGCTGAATTTTTCACTGCTCAGATTCACTATACCGCTCGATTATCTACTTTTTAAGATTTTCATACCGGTTTGTTACTGGTGGATGTCCTACAGCGTCCGCTACGTCACCCACAATGCCAGACTCTATTGCAGCTACTATGGTGTTGATTTTCGTCACATCGTTGCAGACACTTGCCACCGCGAACTGTGCATCAATCTTAAGAAACCATATTTCGAGTCGCTCATGCCAGAACACAGGCACCTTCACCGAGATGTGATTCACAATTGCTGCTGAGTCTTCCGACTCTTGTCAGGATGATGCTGTACTTTCGTTTTGTAACGACATTTTATTACCTGGTTTCGCACTTACACTAAGCCGGAGCTTTGCTCGTAGAGTTCTGAGAAGAACTTTTGTATGTAGATGAATACCTCTTTACTAATTTAACAGTTCTGAAAAGAACTGATCATTTCTGAGTCACCAATTTAGTACTGCCACAACTTTTTTTCGAAGCACTCCTTCAGCATTTACGATGTGAGCTTAAAACCATCATCCGATGTGGTTGCCTCTTCTTTTGCAAAGGTTTCTACTTTAACTATGTGACCAGCTTGATCTATTCTGCACCTTCTACTTTATCTAACCTCAATAGTTCATCGTTTGTAAGCCGCTCTCTTCCGTTTAATTTTTTTTTATATTGGTCTCAACTACAGACACAGGGTTTCAACGATATTCCAAAATTTCTTAACAGATGACATTTTTATTTCCTTCTACGACTTATATGTGCAAATTTATCGGTTTCTTCACTGTTAAGCGAAACACTGTCAGAAATACGGCTGGGTCATTAATCAAGTCTACTGTTGCACGAAGTGGCTGCTAACCGATGTATAGGTGTATAATTTTATAAAAAGACGCTCTAATCAGGATGTGATTCACATTCGAGCAGGTCAGAATATTGATAATTTTTTTATTATTGAACACATGCAGTATTTTAAAATTGTATGTGGATTTATTACATTATTAAATAATGTGCCAATCGGATTGTGTGATCATTTCAAATGAATATTTCCTTGTGAAATTGGTTTGTGCACATAAAGCATAAGCCAAATTAATATAGTTACATCAATCTCAAGCAAATCTGTGTATGGGCTGCCAAATATATGGTACTTATATTAATTTTGAAAGAACGGGAACGGAACAAGTTTCTTTTACATTTATTACTTTTTCAAGAGACGCGTCGGTGGTCGAATCGTTTTTTGGCTTGTGTTTTTTCGATTGAGTTTTGGTTTTAGTTTTATCACTGGTATGTATTTTGCTTCACAAAATTCGGAATATACGTGCACCTTTTTTGAATTAAATGTTTTCAATTAATTTTGCAACTTTCTAAAAATACTTGTTTGTTTGAGCAATTATATTTTTAAGGTTATGTGACCCTATTTGCAAAAAATAAAATCTGCATTTCAAATATTCATATTAGAATGAATTTCAGTAAATGTCACAAGAAACAATAGAACCACTGCGTGATGAGACTTAAGAAAGTGGCAGTATGATTTTCAACATACAAATCAAAAACAAATAACTGGCATTGCTTTATCTCTCAATAATCCTTATAAGAACAAATATTTTTGCTTTTAATAATTGATTTCAAATACCGTTTCATTTGACATGCTTGAGAAGTTCGTGAAAATGTTTTAAATTTGGAATGTTTTAAATTTAAATTTGAATGTTTTAAATTTGGTTCGTTTTGTATAAAATCATTATTGTAGAATAATGAGGTATTCTTTTTTGTAGGTTTTGCTAACATTAAAATGGATGAATTGGAAATAATGTGGGATGAAAGTCCACCTGAAAGGAACGTGTATGGAGTTTTAAGTGCAAACATATATAATTTTAATCAGAAAAATCAGAAAAATAAGAATAAAAATGTTTCATCTCAAAAACACGAAGTTTCTCACAATCTCAAAGTTGAATTTAAAAACAATTCATTGAATCGTTTTAGTGCTTCTTCCAGAAATGATGAACTGCAGGTTGCAACTCCGGAATCTGTAAGTATAAAGTATTTACAACGAACGTATGGATATAATTTAATAACTCATAACAAAATTTATTAAGGGAGAAAATGGCGGAAATAGATTAAATTTACCTACAAAAAATTTATGTATTGGTGGCACTGAAAAGAAGGAAGTATTGCAGCCCATCGATTGGGAAACTCTAAATAGAAATGTTGTAAGAAAAATATTAAAAATCTACAAATTAAGATATCGATTTATTTGTTTTACTCATATAAAATATTTTTTATTACAGGAAGAATATAAAAGGTTACAGTGGGCGCATCTTCCAAAGCTGAGAAAAAATTTTTATCAAGAAGCCGAGGAAATCGCTATTATGACAGAGGAAGAAGTCAATGAAATGCGTTTAGTAAACAACAATATAATGGTTTCACGTTTGAAAACAAGTGAAGACCAATTGTGTCTTGATATACCAAAACCTATTTACAAATTCGAACACTCTTTCAAAGATTATCCTGATATACTTGATGAGTTGAAGAAACAAAACTTTACGGAACCATCACCTATACAAAAGCAAGCATGGCCTATATTATTGAGAGGCGAGGATATGATAGGTATTGCTCAAACAGGAACTGGAAAAACTTTAGCATTTCTGCTTCCTGCCTTGATTCATACTGATGGACAGACTACACCACGTACGGAACGCAATGGTCCAAATATATTAATTTTAGCTCCAACACGCGAATTAGCACAGCAAATAGCAAAAGAAGTTAATAAGTACTCGTTCCGTGGAATAAAAGCGTAAGTTAAAAAATAGTTTAAAACAAATGAATAGAAAAATAAATAATATTAAAATTCTTGTTCAGTGTATGCATTTATGGTGGTGGAAGTCGTCGTGAGCAGATCAGAGATTTCAAAGAAGGAGCTGAATGCATAATTTGCACCCCTGGACGTCTTAATGATTTGGTTCAAGCTAAAGTTATAGATATTACATCCGTTACATATTTAATATTAGACGAAGCAGACCGTATGCTGGATATGGGTTTCGAGCCACAGATTCGAAAAGTTCTACTTGACATACGCCCTGACAGGCAGACCGTCATGACTAGTGCCACCTGGCCGCCATGTGTTAGTAGATTGGCCGAAACCTATATGAACAATCCTATACAGGTATGGGTTGGCTCACTTGATTTAACTGCTACTCATTCTGTGAGTCAAAAGGTAGAACTCGTGGATGATGCGGACAAATTTAATACGGTAATATTATTTGAAAAGTTAAATAAAGAAAGATTTAAAGAAAAATGTATTTGTTCCTGATACAGGTTCTGGCGTTTTTAAAAAACCTTAAATCAAGCGATAAAGTTATTATCTTCTGTTCTAAACGAGCTCGTGCTGACGATTTGTCTAGTGATTTATCTCTGAAAGGCCTGTTAACACAATGTATACATGGTTCTCGTGATCAGGTACTTAATACATTAGCTTTATTAGAGTAATGCCTATGTGCATAAGATTCTTATAAACTTAAACAAATTTTCTTTAGGCCGATCGAGAACAAGCACTGGCTGATCTGACCTCAGGTGACATACAAATTTTAATAGCAACAGACGTTGCTTCAAGAGGTTTAGATGTTGAAGACATCACGTAAGTGCTTAGTAGTATTTGAAACCGAAGTTGTAAAAAAATTTTTTTTCTTAGTCATGTTATTAATTTTGATTTTCCGCGTAACATTGAGGAGTATGTTCATCGTGTTGGTAGAACTGGACGCGCTGGGCGAACCGGCACTGCCATAAGTTATATAACACGCTCGGATTGGGGTATTGCGAAGGATCTCATTCGTATTTTGGAAGAAGCTAGCCAAGCAGTTCCAAAAGAACTATACGAAATGTCCAATCGCTTTGACGAGATGAAAAAAAGACGTGGTAGAGATTTTAAAATGGGTAGTCATTTTAATGCTTTTTTATAAACACAGTACACCGTAGGGGTACTCACTTTTAAGATTGACTTAGTAACAGTTAATTTAGTAACTTGACAACAGCATTGTATGTTGTTTTTTAAATTACATCGTAAATAAACGCTATGTTTGATTCAAATCGATCAGTGTTTCACTTAAAAGAATGTTGATCGCTAAAATTTAAAATTAATTAAAAAACTGTTTCTAATGTTATCATTATAATAGTGTATAATATGAAAAACTTGAAATAAAGTTAAATACAAATTAATATTATTCCTATTTGAATACAAAATCATATTTTAGGTTAATTTTTTATATAGGAAATATATACTGTATGTATATATTTCCTGCAGTAGTAAGTTTTTAATAGCATTAGTTTTAATAGCATTCATATATGTATTGAATTATCTATAGAAATCAAAGTAATACAGAATACATACTTTTTTCAGATTATATATATTTAATCTGATTCATATTTATATTGATTTAATGTAAATATCTTATAAGAGATTTAATATATAATGAGGGCGGTCACTCATGATAGACATGATAGACATACGATATGGTCAGTGTGCAGTAATCATGAATGCAGTTTGATTTCTTGAAATAGATTCTTTATGTAAGAACATGTCAAAGATGTGTTTTACTAGAGATTCTGTTAAAATTTGTCTTATACAAAGTGTGTACCACTGCTCAATTATAGTAATGTACAAATCTTTACTATGACGATCATCACTTCTCACAAAGTAATAGATAAGCTCTCTTCTAGGTAATAATTTAGCTTTAATTTATACATATATGATAATTCAAGAAATAAATATCTATTGAGAAAGGAGCTACTACTAGAAAAAGAAGAACGACACTTATTTTCACATCTTGTGAGTACATAATTCTGTTCGCTAATGAAACAAAGCTTCCGTTAACATACTAAATACGAATAAGAATTCAACTAATCTTCATCTGATCAGTCCATCAAACTCTAAACAATATCAGCATATCAATGGCAATGATGGAAAAGAAAAAAATCAGAAAGCACGTTTTACTATCATTTTCAAATTTTGTACAGTATGTACATTAGATTTTATTCATCCATTGTCTGTGTAGATATAGGTTGAACACGTAATTGTTCAGGTAGAAGATAATCCGTGTCAAAATTGAAACCACGCTATCCTAAACATTGGACTGAGCTCCACAATTCACCAATTGAATTGGGAATTGCAGTCTCTTAAACTGAAATGGCATATCGGTAAGAATTATTAAATTAGATTTAGATCTGAAGGACATCTTCACTTTTAAAGTTAATTAATTTTTTTACTTCCTCGGAAGAGTCTAACATCCATTGAGGACGCGTCCCAGGTGGCGGATAGCGGAATGTGTTTTAGATATGGATGGTGGAAGGGAAATAAAATACCTCCCACGGAGCAAATAGGTAAACTTCGTCATCAAACAAAAGCAGCTTAGAATTCAAGGCAGCGGACGAATTAACTATAATATGATCAACGATTTCGAGTTTCTAATGATGTCTGTATTTCAGCGTATGTTCACCATGTAAGCTGAGGCTGTAAGTGGTGACCGGACTTGTAGTAAGCGGATCGCTATATAAACGTGTACCACGTCGGAATCTGGATGGGTCATGGACCCATCATCCACCGCTTATGTGAACCCGTGCATACAATCAAAAAAACTACTACTTCAAACAAAAGTCAAACGAAATGGGAACAACTTCTCCGACATTCGAGCAATCGAGTTTAGAGATCAATAAAACCTACAACATAACAAATTTGAATCGTATTGATGAATGATGCCCAATAGGCATAACATCTGTCGCAACATGGAATGTACGCACTTTAAATGAGGCTGGTAAACTCGAACAACTTGGAAACGAGATGGCTACAAAAGCGACGTTTGGCGATATAAGAATTCAGTGAGAATAGAAATGGCTCGATCAAACACAAAGATAATTTGTTTATTTATTCAGGCGAACCAGAAGGATTTGCTCATGTCAATGGAGTAGGTTTCCTTATATCTTCAAAGATTGCTCAGGGGATATTAGAATGACATCCAGTCTGCTCATGAAAAATAGTCCTTAAACTCAAAACGCGTGCACGTAACATGATAATGATTTGTTTTGCAAATGAAAGTTTGTTTTATTATCTTTAAAGGCTTTATGTGTGCATTGTGATCCATATAATAATAAATCAAAAGGATAGATAATCGCTTTTTACGAGGGCTGCTATATATATTTCTGGCCTAGGCAGCACTAAGTATTGCCAGGTGCAATCTGACATTTCCGTGAGAAAGGTTGCCATTTTTTAATATAACATCACTCAGAACGTGTTGTCATTTAATTGTTAATTGTTCTATTTACAGAGACTTGAAAAATTCATCTCGGACAAAAAATGGAATTAACACGTGAACATTTTTGTGCAATCAGTTTTTACAACTTTCGACGTGAGTGCATTGACAGGAGTGCATTGATGAATTTAAATCTTTGTAAGGCGATGAAGCATCATCCTATAGCACTGTGAAAAACTGATTTAATGACTTCAATCGTGACAGACACTCGCTCAGCGACGAATTCCGTGAAGGTCGTACAAAAACGGCCGTTGTGCCAGACAATTTTGATGCCGCACAATTTGACAATCGCTCAAAAAAAGACTCGTGTCGATTGGTGCAAAGAAATGTTGAAAAAATATGTTCGCGGTGCTTCAAAAGACGTTTATAACATGGTCACAGGTGACGAATCAACAATCAATCGACCGCGTGGGTCTTCAAAGACGAGCCATATCCAACGAAAGTTGTTCGTGGAAGAAGCACTTCGAAGCAAATGGTCGCCTGTTTCTTCGGCAAATCTGGTCATGTGGCGACTGTTCCGCTTGAGCAACGAAGAACGGTCACTTCTGAGTGGTACAACACAATTTGTTTGCCTAAAGCCTTCGTAGAAATTCGAAAAACGAACAAGAGAAGATGAAGTATTATTCACCATGACAACGCGAGCTCTCACACATCGGCTCAAAGCAGCGCCTTTTTGACCAGCCAAAACGTCGAATTAATGGGAATTAACGCACATCAAGAAAAAACAAGAAAAAAAATGCGTGGTCAACGATTTCCGTCGCCAGAAGATGCCGTTGAAGCGTTCAAAAACCATGTTTTGGAGGTGTCCCAATCGGTGTGGAAAAGGTGCTTCGACAATTGATTTGAGCGCATGTAAAAGTGCATAAATCAGGCTGGAGAATACTTGTGTATTTAATTATTTGTATAGTAAAATATAACACATAAATAGATATTTAACAACATGGTGTTTATTAACATACTTCATGTTATCATGGCTAGTACAGGTCATAGTACTGTCTTCACTACATACACATAATACCATTTGCACTAACAACAACTATGGTTCGGCTACTGCCGGTGTTTACTCAACACCCAATATACAAACCTCATATCAATATACATACACATAGCAGAAAAAGTCTACGGATATTCACAAAATTTTTCTTATATTACGCATAACTTTTTTAATTTCTACTCAAATTCATTTTTATTTCCTGATTTATTTTAACCAAAGAAACAACAAATTTACAATATAAAAAATTAACAATTATTCTTAAAAAAAAAATTAAACACAATTATACGCAAAAGTAGCAATTTTTGAAGCATTTTGAATTTTTATAACATATATTTATTATATTATTTTAATCTTATATTATAAAACAATAATAAATAATAATAAATAGGGAAAAATTTATATTTACATAATCCAATAGGAATAAGTTTGTAACACCACAGACAAATAACACAGACAGACAGATTGCGAATGCAGAACAAAAAAATTACTCCCTTTCATTTCATGTTAGCCAGCTCGAGTAGCCAGCTAAAAGCACAATCAGCTTTGAATTGTAGAACACTTAAGACAAACCAAAGCAGCGTATAACACAATGATCTTAAGTGTTCGAAACACACGAAAGAGCTGTTGAATGTGCGTATGAGAATGTATGTGTGATATAGTATAGAAATTCCCAGTAGTCCGTTTGGTAAGCACATGAAAAAGGTATGCATGACATCATGTTTACAAAAGAATGTGAGAAGTCATCATACTAAAAGAATGTACTGGTAATGTATCATGTCATGCGGCTAGCGAAAAAAAAACCCTTACTCTTCGTGAAATTAACCGAACGACAGATATTTTTTTGTCATATTTGTTGTTGTTGTATTCCTTCCTGCACAATTATTCGAGCATGCTCAGTATTCGTGTGCATTTAAGTGCGGTGCGTTTAATTTTTCGGTGCGGATCGATTTTATGAATTTTTGGTGTATTGCTAAATTTATTAAATTTAATAAATTAATAAACGAATATTATAAACGAATAAACAAAAGAAATTTATAATATATTGTGAATTTGTGTTTAACAATATTAATTATTGTTTTTCCTTCGGAATTCCAGTGTAAGTTGAAATTTAAATTGAAAACATTTTTTTTGATTGCGCTTTATATACCTGGCGTGTTTTTTAAAAACTATATTTATTATTTCTGTTTCAGTCTACAGTTCTGTTGCTGTTTCCAGTTTATTTACTGGAATATTTATTTATTATTTTAATAATAATTGTTATTATTTAATTATTTGTTTATATTTTAATTTAAGTTGTTAGTTATTATTTTTCATTCCGTTTTTGTGTTTTTTTTCAACAGTAGTTTATATATTTGGTTGTTTCCTAATTATTTAAATGGAAGGTTTTTCAAATAAAAATAAATAAATAAACTTTCTGTATTTTTCTTTACAGAAGCCTTGCAAAAAGATGGCTATACAGAAAAGGAGTATATTTCGGATATACGAATAGCCATAAAGAATGTTAAAGGAATTTATTATAAATAGCAGTACAACGACCGGAAGAAGCACAGAATGGAAGAAAGCAGCAAATAATTTTTATTTATTTATATAATATTTATAATAATAAAAAAACAAATAAAAAAAACATAAAAAAATTTAAAATCTATAATTATAATATCAATAAATATTGCTTTTGTAATTTTTATTTATTTATATTAAAAAAAATTTATATTTATATAAAAAAAAATTAAGACAAAAAAAATTATAATTTATAATATTGTAATTTTTATTT